TTTTTCTCGTAATAACCAATGTAGTAACATATATATTAATCAGTCATTAAAAAAGAATGATATAGGGGCACCTGGGTGACTCAGTCGTTAAAACGTCTGCCTTCGACTCAGGTCGTGGTCCCAGGGTCCTGAGATAGTCCGACTTCGGGCTCCCTGCTCTGAGGGAAGCCTGCTTCTCCCTCTCCCACTCCCCCTGTTTGTGTTCCCTCTCTCTCTCTGTCAAATAAATAAAATCTTTAAAAAAATGATATAATATACTAATACAAAAATATCCAATATTTACGTATTTACAGAACAATATGATTCCATTTGCTTAAAAAGATTTTCATACGTATACACATAACACATATACATATAATACATATCAAGATACCTAGATGTGAACATATTTTCAGGAAAAATATTCAAGAAACCATTAACATTTCTCATCTCTTGGGAATTGGTAAGGGGAGGTTTACTCTAAGCACATTTTACACCCTTCTAAATTATTTAGCTTTACCACAGGAGGTATAACTTTTACAATGATGATGATGATGATATATATATAAGTGGGTTTTAAATTAAAGTATATAGTAATAATAATCTCTGATTCCAGCTTCCAGTAGTTTAAGCCTTAACTTACAGAAGGCATTAAATTTAGAAATCTCAAATACTAATAAAAGCCATTTCAAGACATTCTTATGCAACACTCAATTACCCTAACAGTTTTTTTTCCAGATCATTTCACACAGAAAACTTTTGTTTATTTCCTTATCCTTTAGAGATAAACAGGAAGGATGGGTTTTCATGTACCAAGGTACATTGCTTAATATAATAATGAATCAAAAAAATTCACTGATATGTTTCAGATTCCACATTGCAACTAACCTTTACAAAACTACCATTTCTTGAGTTCTGGCATCATATCAAAGAAAAATATCCATAATTATAATTAAAGGCTACTATTATACACCTCCCTTTTCTGACTACAACTGAGTGGGGCCAGATTTTCTTTATATACTTCTGCCAAATCAACATATTTCGCTAAGTTCAATGCAGAAGTCTATATGAGAACCCAGCAGTTTTCTACTCAACCAGACACTAATGAGATTTGAAAAGCATAAAATCAATACCATTCAATTTTTCCTTGTGAATTAGTCAATTTCTTCATTAAAAAGCTTATTTATGTTAATATGTAACTCATATTGTTATTTGTAAATAAATAGAATTTGAATTTTTTCTCAGTTTTATTTCCTAATACAAAAAATATCAATACATAAAGCCCATTTAAGCAAAAACTCTCTGGAGTCTTCAACAACTTTTTAGAATGGAAAGGAGTTCTGAAACCAAAAATTTTGAGATTCTACAGACCAAAAGGCAAACAGCTGTGAACAATTTGTTTACAACAGTGATGAATGAACTATAACATGTGGGGTGGGGGTAATGAAATATTATAGATACTAAATTTGTTTTTAGATGGAATTCAAGTATTTTTGTTAAAGTTGATGAGAAAAAAAAGTATTTCAAGTTTTTATATTAACCTACATATTTACATTTCCAGTGTCTTCCTTTCTTCCTGTGGATCTGAGTTACCATCTGGTATCCTTTCCTTCTTTTACTATTTCTTGTAAGTCATGTCTGCTTGCTACAAATTGTCTGTCTTTGCATATCAATGTATTTATTTCACCTTTATTTTTGAAGGACAGTTTTGCTAAATAGAATTATTCATAGACAGTCTTTTTTTCTTTCGGCACTTTGGATATGTCATCCCATTCTAACCTCCAGTGTTTCTGATGACAAGGCAGTAATTAATCACACTGATGCTCCCCTGTATGTAGCAAGCTATTTTTTTCTTGATTTTCAAGATTTTGTCTCTGTCTTTTAACAGACTGACTATGCTGTTTCTAGGCATAGGTCTCTTTGTATTTATCCAACTGACGTTCCATGAACTTCTGGATGTGTAAAGTTTTTCATCAAATTTGGAAAATTTTCCAAAAGGCTATTTTCTGCACCTTTCTCTCTCCCCATTTGGGGCTCCCAGTACAGATATGTTGTATGCTTGATGTTTTCCCCAGATCGCTGAGGCTCTGTTCCTTTTTCTTCATCGGTCTTTCAGATTGAATCATATCTATGGGTCTGTCTTTAAATTCACTGATTCTTTTTATTAGCACCTCAAAACCACTGTTGAACCCCTGTAGTGAATTTTTCATTTCAGGCATTGTATTCTTCAAGTCTAGAATTTCCATTTGATATTTTTTTAACTTTTTACTTTGGAATAATTTAGATTTACAGAAAAATTGCAAAGATATTACACAGAGTTCCTGTATATACTTCACCCAGCTTTCCCTAATGTTAATATCTTATATAAGCATGGTACAATTTGTCAAAAGTAAGAAATTAACACTGGTTCAAAACTATAGTCTTTATTCAGATTTCATCAGTCTCTCCACTAATTTTTCCTTTTCTGTTCCAGGATCCAATGCAGGATACCACATTGCATTCAGTCATCATGTCTCTTGGGCTCCTCTGATTTGTAATAATTTCTCAGTTTTTCCTTGTTTTTCATGACCTTGACAGATTTAAAGAGTACTGGTCAGGTGCTCTTATAGAATGATCCTCAGTTTCACTTTGCCTGTGTTTTCTCATGATCAGACTCAGACTATAAGTCTTGGGAAAGACTACTACAGAGGTAAATTACTCTCTCATGACATCATATCAAGGGTAGGGTGTTTTTTTTTTTGGCTATTGTTTTTATTATTTTTATACCCTCATCCAGAAACTCCATTTGTTGACTTATAATTTCCTTTATTTAAACATGGTTCCCTTTAGTTCTTATAACAAATTTATAATAGTTTAAGTCTTTATTAAATCCCAAATTTGGGGACATTCAGAGAAGATTCTTTTTTACTGCTTTTTTTTCCTGTGCATGAGTCACACTTCACTGCTTCCTTACATGGCTTGTAATTAAACCTAAGGATTTTATATAATATAATGTAGCAACTCAGGATTCTGATTCTTTTCCCACATATAGGTGTTGTTGCTATCTTGTTTACTTCTTTCATTTTGTTTAGTATCATGCCTGGGCTAATAAATACGTAAAATCTTTCTCCCTGAGGTATGCAGTCACTGATATCTCTGCTCAGTTTTAAATATACTGTTTTATTTTTAAGCCTGGTTTCCTAGGGGTTATCCCTTTGCATCACTTAGGGGTCAATCTGTGGTTAGACAGAGTTTATCTCAAAAACCTCGAGCCACTAAGGCTCCCACCCGTGCCAATGGATATGTGTGTGGGTAAGGGGAGCTCATTCGAAGTTCAGTCTTTTTTCAAGTTTGCCCCAGGTTTATCTTTCCATAGGGCCCTTTCAAGTCTCCTGGGTGCATGAATGCAACTTCAGGGTCAGTCAAAAGTATGTGAATACCTTGGGCCTTCCCAGGTCTTTCCTGTGCTCATATGCAGCCTCAACCAAGAACGTTTGCCTCAAATAGTACTGCAAGCCCCTGCTATTCGAGCTGAGCCATTGGCCCTCCCTTGTACTTCTGAAAATGATGCCACTGGACATCACCCACCACTCCGAAGAACTGACCCCCTTCAAGCTGAAGTCTTTCTGCCCTGCTTCTTGCCGGCAGGATCTCCATGCCAATCAAGCTGGGTCAGAGTGGGGTGGAAAGTGAGTAGTCCCAAGCTAGAATGTCACAGATTCCCATTTCCCTTTTTGAAGTTCAACAGCATAATACTTGAAAGTTTTATACAATTGGTCTCTGGTCAATCTCCAAAGTACTGAAATGGCTGCCGCAGAAACGTTACATAGAAATAAAAATCCTATTCAAATATTCATACTGTTTGGACCAGTAATCTCAGTTACATAAAACCATCCTAAAGAATTAACCCCAAATCATCGAGAAAGCTGTGTAAAGCATGTTCCCACAACGTTGTTTCTCCTTTATAGTGCCTCCCTTACAGCTAGGGGGAGCCCTGTGACTAAGTTCTCACCAAGGCCACGCGAATGGAAGAGATACCACAACTTCCTCCTCATCTCCTCCAGAGTAAACTGCCCTGAACTTCATGTCTTTCCCCTTCCCTAAGGCCCAAGTTTGGATTGGTAGCAACTCATGGACAACCACGACAAATGGATCCCTGTATTACTTCATGGAATGGAATCACTTCACCAACATATACCTGTTGCCAGGCTATTATAACACAACAAAATAAAATGTTATATTACTAAGTGACATTATAAATCCATGCTTTTAAAAGAAACACATTCCAAAAAGCTACAAAATTAAATGTACTGATTCATCACAGCTATCTTAAAATATGTATGTAAAAATGGCAAATACATAAAAATAACGGTGTTATGGTGGGATTATAAGTTTTCCTTTTCAAACTTTCAAAAATATTAATTTTGATAATTTCAAAAGTTGAAACTGTTTAATTAAATTGGTTAATTAAATGTTTTAAGGAATCTTTAACCTATACACTTTTATATTTGTATGAAACATGGATCCTCTGGCCAATGTTCAAATTCAAGATGCCTATCTGCAATCCAGCCGCTGTATTCTTTCTTTAATAAATGAAAAATTATCTACTTATGTTCCTCAAGGGCACTACTAGCTAGGAACCTTGGCCAAATAAGACTGACTCTGTATAACTAAACTTTTTCTACTTAAAATAAAAAAAAAAAAGGCTTTTCGCTTCATCTTTTATATTTGTATTTCTTAAGAGGAAACAAAGTTTCAATGCAAAGGGATATAATGGAAAACCAACAAAAAGCTTTATGCATTTTCTCATCCAGCAGCTTCCATCAACCTAAAAATATATCTGAAGGATGAAAGCTGGCCCCACTATGAAAAGCATAGCTTTTAAGATTAAAGCTACCCCCACCAAAAAAACCCAAGAAACTGAAACAGCCCAGCCCAAAGCAAAATAGAGCTGCTAAAAACTTTGCTGTCCTCTCATATTTTAAACTATACAATACCTCTAAAAATGCAGCTAATTTATACAGTGTTTTGATACCTCCAAACTTCCCAATAATTAAATTTAAGGCTTGAACAAGGGAAATGTACATGAACTCTACAAAATATAACTACACATTTGTCTATTAACAAAAAAAGTGGCCTTGACTCCCTCTAACAAGATGTACCACAAAACATGAATCACCAGCCACTTGTGGCTCCAGAGTACTTGAAATAGTGCTTGTCAGAACTGAGATGTGCTCTCCAAAAATAAAATGATAAAAATACATCATTAACATCTTTTTAATACCGATTACATGTTAATATTTTGGATATAGCTGGTTAAATAAAATATACTAAAACTAATTTCACCTCTTTCATTTTATTGTTTAAAATGTGGCTCCAGGGAAACTTCAAATTACATATGGGGCCACCCTATATTTCTATTATCCCTGGTGTTCTACCTGAACAAACCAGTCTAGTTCCTAACAAGGAAATTTTATAGCCATTTTATAGCCATTTTCTCTTGGTTTGGTACTCTCTAGTTCCATACTTTTATCCTAAAAACAAAGAGGTTGACCTAGGATTATGTCCTACACAATACTGAAGATAAGGGCTGCCTATAGTCATCTGGTTACTCAACAACAGGGATCTAACCTATCACAAGGGAATAGAACCAATACCACTTCAAGACACTCTCCAGAAATCCATCAGCCATCAAAGAGTGAAAAGTGACCACCTTGAGATGGCATAAGAGGCTTTAAGACAGAAATGACTAGCTTGCACAGCAGGGTGTGAGGCGGCACTGTGGGAAGGGGGGGTTGGGAAGGAGGGTGCATAAAGCAGAAAGCTGGACTCTAGGACTGAGTCACAGACAGAACCTCATAAGGGTCTGACGTACTTCTTACATTTGCTGAGTATCTACATTGTGTGAAGCACTGGGCTTAACACAGCTAAATAAACAGCGTCCACTCTTAAGGCGCTCATAATCTAATCAAACTGAAGTCAGGACAGATCAGTGTATAAGGCCAGGTGTTTTGACACTTAATCCTGGGCTGCAACCTTAAGGACTGAAATCAGAGATAGTTAATAACAAATCAGTAGACAAAAAACTGCAGCTAAATGGATTCAGTAGGTAAGGAAGGTTATGGTTAAATGGGTATCATGATGAATGGACTCTGAGAACCCTTTGAAATGTTACATATGGGGCTTTTGTGTGTGTGTGTGTGTAAGAATTCATAGCCATCAACAGATGCTCTGAGGTAATGGTCTCCAAACTTGTAATGCATTTATTTATGAACTGTATACATCTACTTTTATGTACTCTATGCAACATGAATAAAATTAGGATCTAAAACAATAAGGCTAAAATAAGTTCTAAAATTTTATTTTTTTATCTTCAATGGCTTTTCTTGCATAGCCCACATGAATCCTGCTCTAAAGGAAATTTAAAATTTAAAAACCACTGATGGGGAAGTATGTGTGGAAAGCCTCGACAGTTATCAGAACTACACCTCAACTGGAGATGAGCTGAGGCCAACCACAAAAATCCTTGAAGTCACTTCCAGAAAGTTTTTCTCTGAAAATGAATTGAGTATTTTCACTCTGAAACAAAGGAAAAATGAAAATGTTGGTTCTACACATGTCAGGTAATATATATTTTGCTTTCATCTTCAATTTGTCCTCCTTCATGTTATATTTTAAGCCACTAAAAAAAACCTTTTAAATGTAAGAGAGACATTATCTTTAAAAACTGAGATTTTAGAAAAGCTATGTAAAATGAGTTCTATGTTCCAATTTTCTTACTAGTAAAAAATCTGAGGTAGTATCACTAAATTTAAAATATTGCTTGAGGGAGAGATTGTGTGCTGTTTTAACAGTGAGTGCTTCCGTAGTACATTCAGAAAATCTCAAGTCAATCATTTTCAATATACTTTTCCAAGCATGAAATTTTTTGCCTCCAAGTTCACATTTCAGTTCTAGAAAAATAGGTAATGGATATAGACAAGCCACAGAAAATAGCTAGCAGGTAATTAATAATAAACATCTATTTCAAGTTTAATATCAATAAAAATGCAAGAAATGGAAACTAAAAATATCAGCAAGGTATGAAAAGGCACTCACATACTGCTCATGGAAATATAAACCGATACCACCTTTCTGGAAAGGAAATCTGACAGTATGCTCTGATCTAGTAATTACATTAGGAAATGATTTCAAAATTTAGAGAAAAACTTGTATATGAAAATGACATCACAATATTTCTGCACAGAAAATGATTGGATGAATATGTTCTAAAATGTTAACAGTGTTTCTGGGTGGTAGGGCGACAGGTGGTGTTTACTTTCCTTTTTTTTTTTTTTTTAGTATATTCCATTTTTTAAATAAGCATGTATTAACTTTAACCCTCCCCCGAAAAATTCAAGTTTCTTTTTAGAATTCCTTTTAACAAATATCACCCAGTTCTTCCTAAAGAAACAAATAAGTATCTGCTATTTCTATTCCAAATAAGAGAGGGCTCCTATTCTAATCCTTGATATTTAGCTCCCCCTCACCAAAAGCATTCAGCCCCCGACTCAAGTACAGCAGAGAGGAGCGCTAGTCAAAGACAGATCTAAGTTCAAATCCTAGAAACACCATTTAGAGTTGTGTTACTTTGGGCAAGTTTTCTAAACCTCAGAGAATTCTTAAATAAGATTACCTAAATTTAGAGATTCAGATAGTTTCATACTACAGTGGGCAGCTCAGAAAGGGTATAAGGATGAAGGTGGAATTTTAAGGGGAGGGAGTAGGTGGGACTATAAAATGAAATTACAGGAATACAATCTGGGATTCATCCCAGAGACAGTTATGGTGACATGATCTGACATGACAGCATGAGACTAAACGAGAAAATTTTTCTTCATCCTTCTGTAGTGAACACTTCCTGTGTGTTGCACGCTAGGGACACGGCACTGAACAGGGTAAACAAGATCCCTGCTTCCTGACCACACATTCTGTGGTGGCAGGGGTGGGGAGTAAGGTGGGGGTGGAAGGCGGAGACAGACAAATCAGTCGAGTTAGTGGTGTGTGCCACAAATAAAACAAGGTAAGAGGACAGCTGGGGGTGGGGTGCTGTTTTAAATAGGGTGGTCAGAGAAGACTCCTCTGCAGAGTGGGGTGCGACCGGAAGGACAAGGAGCCATGACAAGATCTTGAGATTGAGAGAAGAACAAGAGCAAAGTCAAAGATGGGACCAAACCTGGCGTGTTCACAGCAAAAAGACCACTGTGGAAGGAGGGAACTGAAAAGTTAGCAGGTGTGAGATTACATGGGGCCATAGCGCGAAAAGGAGTTTGAATTTTATTTTCACTGTGATAAGAACCCACTGATGTTTCAGCAAGTGGCACGAGCTGACTGCATTTAAAAAATTACTTCAACAGATCTGAGGAGAGAGAATTCTAGTGACAGGATGCTATCACAGCAGGCCAAACACACCTTAACTAGGCAGGACTGATAGCACGAGTGGGGGCGGAATTGCGCAGAATTCCCACAGAGGCTGATTCAGCTCTATCTTCAAACCAAGCACAAAGGTTTCTCTTTCTAAATCCTGCCCTGGTTCTCCCAGCTCAACTGGGCCACTACTAAACTTCATATGCTATCTTAATGAGAACATGTATCAAGTGTACTGCAATTTTATATTTACAAAGCTGTCCTTCCTACTAGACCAAGCTCCAAGATACACCCAGCAGAGTACCTGGCATATAAATGTGCTCAGTAAATGTCTGCTGATTGAAAGAACAAATACATTTAAAATAATCAAAGCCATTTGTACTCATTTCCTAGGGCTACTGAAATAACACAAACTTTGTGGCTTAAAACAACAGAAATTTATTTTCTCTCAGTTCTGCAGGCTTGAAGTCCAAAATCAAGTGTTGGCAGGACAGGGCCATGTTCCTTCTGAAGGCTTCAGGGAAGAATCCTTCTTTGCCTCTTAGGAGTTTCTGGTGTATCACAGCAATCCTTTGCGTTCCTGGCTTGTAAACTGCATCACTCCAATCTCTGCTCCATCTTCACGTGGCCTCCCCTGCGTGTGTCTCTGTGTGTCCTCTCAGAAAGACATCAGTCATTGGATTTAGGGCCTGTCCTAATCCCATATGACCTCATCTTGATTATATCTGCAAAGATCCTTATTCCAAATAAGGTCACATTTTGAGGTTCCAAGTAGACATGAATTTTTGGTGGACACTATTTAACCCACTGTGCCATTCAACACCACAATGGATTACCTTATAAAGTGATAATCTCATTCCAAAAATGTTCAAGCAAAAACTGAGTAGCCAAGGGGCGCCTGGGTGGCTCAGTAGTTAAAGCGTCTGCCTTCGGCTCAGGTCTTGATGCCAGGGTCCTGGGATCGAGCCCCGCATCGGGCTCCCTGCTCCGCGGGAAGCCTGCTTCTCCCTCTCCCGCTCCCCCTGCTTGTGTTCCCTCTCTCGCTGTGTCTCTGTCAAATAAATAAATAAATAAATCTTAAAAAAAACAAACAAACAAGAACAAAAAACTGAGTAGCCAAAATGGATGTTCAACAGAAGAGATTTCTATATTGCCTCTGTGTGTCCTTTAAAACCTCTGTGGTTTCAGTTTACTTATCTGTATGTTGAGGAAACTGATTTTTATAGTCTCTTCTAATATTAACGTTCTGATTCTGGGTCATAAATCTTCTTGACCACTTCTTACATTTTATAAATGTTATGCTAATAGAGAGACCCTTAAATACATGAATAAATTAAATTATAGCAGAAAGCTTACCTTCTCAGTTCTGAAATAGGCAAAATAGTTTTTGTAAACCATCTGCCACCAAACTTACTTCATTTTCCCATTAAAAATGCAGTGTATTCCTCCATACATCAAAGGACTGTACTTCCATTTTAATAAACCACTTTGAATACCTACTATGTGCCACTGAACAACCCACTTCTGACCCACCTATTTATACTTACTAAATTATTAGCTAACTAGACCTTCATTATTTCTACATAATAGACATGTCACTTAATGGTAAGTTTTTTAAAAATAGCTTTACCGATTTCTCTTATTACAAAAGTGATATATTTTTACTGTTTAAAAAAAAATTCACAAGTACAAAGATAGTAAAAATCACCAGAAGTCCCAGTCCCAAAGATAGCCACTGTTAACATTTTGCTGACCAACCTGTCAGACTTGTACTGGTGTATATCTTTCATATTTTTATTTACAAAAATCAGATGTTATGTAGAAAGCTACATAAACAGGCTAATACACATGCTACTCTGCAGCTGGTATTCTCCCCAAATTGTTATGCATACCTTTCTAAGATGAATATGGATATACAGCATCATTTTACTGGAGAGGGTTTTATGCTGAATTAAAACAACATATTCTAACCAACTGCCACACTGATGAGCACTGAAATAATCTAAATATCCATCATTCCAGTGTTGCAAATTGTTACCAAAATAATTTATGCACGTTTTAGCAAATTTTTGCAACTGCCCCTTTAAACAAATTCCATGACAAAAAGGGTAGTAGTCACACTTAAAATTTGGATTTGTAAAGATCTACTGCCCTCCCACAATGCTGAATCAAATGATGCTCCCAGCTCTGTATATAAGAATACCCATTTTCTCATACCCTGCTAACACTGGGTTTTGTCAGTCTTCGCCAATATGAAAATATGATTCCTCTCACCAAAAATACTTTTTTTCTTTTTATCTTTCTTCTTTTTTTTTTTTTTTGCATTTCCTTTGTTACTAGCGTAAACATGTTTTCCTACATTTGTATTTATTCCTGGAGCTGAGTCTTCTGCCAATTTTCTAATGAGTAGTCTTTATTTTTTCCTATAGGTCTTTTTCTTTTTCCCTATAGATCTTATTTCTCTTATGCTGTTAAAAAAATCCTTCAGCAACAAGGCAAAGATGTTTCTTCTCCCATTCCTTTTCCTAGCTAATGCATATCCTAGCTAATGTAATAAGACAAAAAAAGGAAACACGGTATAGATAGGAAAAGACATAAAACTGTGTTTGTTTATGGATGACATGACTGTCTACGTAGAAAATCTGAAAGAATAGGGAAAAAAAAAAACCCTCCTGGAACGAATGAGTGCTTATAGCAAGGTTAAAGGATATAAGGTTAATATACAAAATAACTTCTTTCCTGTATACCAGAATGAACAAATGAAATTTAAAATTTAAAACTTAATACCATTTACATTATCACTCCCAAAAATACTTAGGTATAAATCTAACAAAATATGCACAAAATCTATATGAGAAAATGACAAAACTCAGATGAGTAAAATCAAAGAAGAACTAAATAAATGGAGAGTTATTGCATATTCATTGATAGGAAGATTTAATATTGTCAAAATGTCAGTTCTTCCTAACTTGATCTAGTTTCAATGCAATTACAATCAAAATTCCAGTAAGTTATCTTGTGGATATCAACAAACTAATTTTAAAGTTTACAGAAATATGCAAAAAGATCCAGAGTAGCCAACACAATATTGAATGGGAAAAACAAAACTGGAGGACTAACACTACTGGACTTCAGACTTATTATAGAGCTACAATAATTAAAACAGTGTGGTACTGGTGAAAGAAGAAACAGATCAATGAAACAGAACAGAGAGCCAAGAAACAGACCCACAGAAATATACCTAACTGATCTTTGACAACAGAACAAAGGTAGTCTGAAGCAAAGATAGTCTCTTCAACCAATGGTCCTGGGACAACTCGACATCCACATGAAAAAATGAATCTAAACACAGACCTTAACCCCTTCACAAAAATTAACAAAATGGATCACAGACCTAAATGTAAAATACAACACTATAAAACTCCTAGAAGAAAACAAAAAAAGCCCAAATGACCTTGGGTATGGCAATGACCTTTTTTAGATACAATACCAAAGGCACAGTGCATTAAAATTAAATTGATAAGTTGGACTTCGCTAAAATTTAAAACTTCTGCTCTGCAAAAAAACAATGTCAAGAGAAAGAGATGACAAGCCACGGAATGGGAAAAAATATTTGCCAGACACATGTTTTAAAAGATTGTTATACAAAATATCCAAAGAACACTTAAAACTCAATAATATGAAAATAACTCAATTAAAAAATGAGCCAAAGACCTTAATGGACACTTCACCAAAGATATACAGATGGCAAGTAAACATAAAAAAATGCTCTACATCATATGTCATCAGGAAAATGCGAATTAAAACAACAATGAGATACCACTATACACCTATTAGAATAGCTAATCTAAAACACCGACAACACCAAACGCTGATGAGGTGTGGAGTAACAGGACTTGTCATTCATTATTGGTGGAAATGCAAAATAGTACAGCCACTTTGGAAGATAGGTTGGTGGTTTCTTACAAAAACTAAACATACTTTACCCCTATGACCCTGCAATCACATTCCTTTGGTATATATCCAAAGGAGTTGAAAACTTAGGTCCACACAGAAATCGGCACACAGAGGTTTGTAGCAGTTTTACTCCTAAGTGCCAAAACTTGGAAGCAACCAAGATGTCCTTCAGTAGGTGAACGGAAAAACGGTGGTACATCCTGAGCCAACAAACTACTACTCAGTGCTAAAAAGAACTGAGCTATCAGGCCATAAAAAACCAGAGAAGAACCTTAAATGCATGTTATTAAGTGAAAGAAGCCAATCTGAAAAGGCTGGGGATTATATGAATCCAACTATATGACATTCTGAAGACAGCAAAACTAGAGACAATAAAAGTATCAGTAGTCGCTAGGGGCTGCAGTGGAGGGATAATTAGGAAGAGCATAGAGGATTTTAGGGCAATGAAAACACTCTGTATGATACTACTAATGATGGATACATACTATATATTTGTCCAAACTCATAGAATGTACAACACCAAGAGTGAACCCTAATGTATAGTATGGACTTTGCATGATTATCAATATAGGTTCATCAATTGTAACAGATGTAGCTGTCTGGTGGAGGGTGTTGATAATGGGGGAGGACTATACATGTGTTGGGGCTGGAGGCATATGGAAAATCTCTGTACATTCCTCTTAAATTTACTGTGAACCTAAAACTGCTCCAAAAAAATTAAGTCTTTAAAAAAGGTTTGCTTTTTGGAATAGCTTCACTGTTTTTCTTAGAATTTTCTTAAAATGTTCACTATAAAGAATTCAAGGAAAAAGTAAATGAAGAAAGTAAAAAAATTATCAAAAAATTCCATCACCTACCATTTCATACATAAAAGGCTACAGAGTGAGCAATTTGTATATCAGGAATATTAATTATTTTATTCCTCAATGTGAAAAAAGCTTTACTCTTAATTTTTCAAGTATAGGTGGAATACATCTTTCTTTATAAAAGGTTATTCCTGTTGCATATAAATCTCATTTCAACAAATCAAATGGAATCTTCCCACCTGGCCCATTATACTTTCAATAATGGTTTTGCTTTATCTCTTACTACATTTTAAGAAATAACTCAGATATGTTTTAAATTGAATATGTTTGTACTCTAACTTGTTCAAATAATCACTGGACTATACATAGATGCTTTGCTACTCAAAGAATAATGGTCAGTAAAGAAAGACTGCTATTTAAGGAAATTCAAAGATCAATCCTTTTACAAGGAAGTTGGGGATACAGTGAGAAAAGCAACAAAGTTGGGAAGAACTAATTTCAAAACTCTAACTTCTCCACTTTCTAACTGTGGGATCTTGGGGAAATCACTTAACCTTTCTAAATCTCAACCATCAAATCTTTAAAATGACTTATAGGGTCCCTTTCAAGTATTAATATTCTGATTCCATTTCCAAAGAAGTCCTAAAATGATTAAGTATGAAGACCTAGGATTAAGAGCAAGCAAATACCAGGGAAAAAGAAGTTGATGTATGAAGTATTATTTCTATATGTCTATGGAAAATGCTAAAATACAGCAACAAGATAATAACAAGGTGAAATATAGTAAACCAGTGGTCTACAAACTGGGGCATGCATGTACAGCGCTTAGAAGTACAAGAGCATGGAGGGGCGCCTGGGTGGCTCAGTTGGTTAAGTGACTGCCTTCAGCTCAGGTCATGGTCCTGGAGTCCCGGGATCGAGCCCCGCATCGGGCTCCCTGCTCAGCAGGGAGCCTGCTTCTCCCTCTGACCCTCCCCCCTCTCATGTACTCTCTCTCTCTCTCTCATTCTCCCTCTCTCAAATAAGTAAATAAATAAATCTTTTAAAAAAAAAAAGTACAAGAGCATGGAGAGTTTCAAAGAAATTGATTTCTCAGCTCTCAACTTCCATATGTACAATTTTCTAGAACCATTCTGCTAATCCAGTATATCAGTTTTCATTTACCTCCTCTCCCCTTTCATCTCTACTCCCCCTACCATCTCACAGAGGAACCTGCAACACTCAACACTTCCCTATACTTACTGTGGAGCTGTTGTCTAACAACATCTAACGAGCCAAAATGAGAGTTCAAAATACCCATGGTGACAAAGTTAATGATTCTACAGACTGGGATATCCAATTTTTTTTTCAAGTAAAGGGGGCACCAATTCTGACTTCCATGAATATAGAAGTTAAACCAAATCCAGTTGTTGCTTCACTAAGTAATAAAAATAATCTCGATTATCGATCACTTCATTGTCAAGTTGGAAGAACGGGTGATATTACTAAAATAAAGCCCTTTTTATTCATGAGATTTCTCAATATTTCCACTATTAAAATAAAAGAGGAAGAAAAGCAATGCAAAACACCATCTTCTCTAATAGTATTTATAAATAAACTATAATTATGAAATAATTTAAAATAGAATCCATTTCTAATAAAATTTTACTGTTTTATTTAATACTTTTTAAATTTTATAATTCATATGTTGTTTTGTCTACTGGCTATAACTGTATTGCTAACTGAAACCAAAATAAATTTGATACAGCCTTATGAGCAAAGAAAATTCAATTTTAAATTTAAAATTTTAAGATTTTATTTATTTGAGAGAGAGAGAGATAGCATGAGCAGGGGGAGGGGCAAAGGGAGAGGAAGCAGAACTCCCTGATGCAGGACTCGATCCCAGGACCCTTATATCATGACCCGAGCCAAAGCCAGATGCTTAACTGACTGAGTCACCCAGGTACCCCAAACATAGGAAATTTTAAATGGTTTTAATTATAATTGTTTTTGCACAGAACTTAGAAGAACTGGGTGACAATTAACACAATGCATTTTTTATTCCCATTCACTAAATTCATGAATTTACTTTCATTGTTGAAAAGTATGATGTGTGATTGGTAAAATGCTTTCAAGTATAAAAGATAATATGTAGTGACAGAAAAAATAGGTGTTCAAGAGAAAAATAAGGAATATAAAAATTCTGACTGTTAAAATTAAGATATTGTTCACATATTTTTTTAAGTAGATGATGGAAAATATCAAGTTGTTAAAAATTCCCTGGATGTATTTTAAATTGTGATTTAAGTAATACACCAAAAATTATATCATTTACAAATACTGAAACTTAGAGGAAAAGTTGTTTTTGTTTTTGTTGTTTTTTTTAAAGTAGGCTCCACACCCAGCATGGAACCCAATGTGGGGCTTGAACCCATGACCCTGAGATCAAGACCTGAGCTGAGATCAAGAGTCAGATGCTCAACTAAGCCACCCAGGGACCCCTAGAGGAAAAATTCTTAATGTGTGAGAAGGTATATAGTTTTTTGTTGTTTTTCCAGTTCTTTGGAGGGGTATATGAGCAAAAAACCCTGATAGTGAAAGTTAGAATGTATCATTTGTCCTAACCTTCCTAAGATATTGCCTACTGGATATTCCCACCTGGATGCTCCCCAGATACTTGAACTCAGCATTCTCAAAGCAAATTTATTATCTCTTCCCCCCGCCCCACATAAACATTCACACACACACACACAGAAAAACAAAACCTGCCTCCTCTTCCTATCTGTATTTTTGTTACTAGCTTCATGATCTACCTGGTCTCCCAGACTAAAAAGGTAGGAATTTTTTTTTTTTTTTTAATCTCCCACATCAAATCATAAACTCTCTAGTCCTTGTGCCATGGTCATTGTTTATGGCCTCCTCATGAGCTATCATCAAATAGCTCTTCAAAACATTAACTATACTATTTTTTTTTTTTAGTATAGTTGACACACAATGTTTCAGGTGCACAACATAGTGATTTGACAAGATTATACATTATGCTGGTCTCACCACAAGCGTAGCTACCATCTGCTCCCAAACATCCCTATTACAATATCAGTGACTACATTCCTTATGCTACACCTTTTATTCCTGTCAATTATTCATTCCATAACTGGAGAAGCCTGTATCTCCCACTCCCACTACCCATTTTGCCCAACCCCTCACTCCCCTCCCCACTGGCAACCACCAGTTTGTTCTCTGTGTTTAGAAGTCTGATTCTACTTTTTATTCTTTTTTTAAAAAAGATGCCACTTCTGAGTGAAATCATATGGTATGTATCTTTCTCTGACTTATTTCACTTAGCATTATACCCTCTAGGTCCATCCATGTTGTCTCAAATGGCATGAGCTGATCCTTTTTTATGGCTGAGCAATATTCCATTGTGTGTATATGTGTGTGTATAAACCACATCTTCCTTATCCATTTGTCTATCAATGGACACTTAGGCTGCTTCCATATCTTGGTTATTGTAAATAACGCTGCAAGAAACATATACCTTTTCAAATTAGTGCTTTTGTTTTCTTTGGGTAAATACCAAGTAGTGGAATTACTGGATCGTACAGTATTTCTATTTTTAATTTTTTGAGGAACCTCCATACTGTTTTCCACAGTGGCTGCATAAATTTATATTCCCACCAACAGTGCACAAGAATTACTTTTTTTTTTTTAAAGATTTTATTTATTTATTTGAGAGAGAGAGAATGAGAGACAGAGAGCATGAGAGGGAGGAGGGTCAGAGGGAGAAGCAGACTCCCTGCCGAGCAGGGAGCCCGATGCGGGACTCGATCCCAGGACTCCAGGATCATGACCTGAGCCGAAGGCAGTCGCTTAACCAATTGAGCCACCCAGGCGCCCCAAGAATTACTTTTTCTCCACATCCTCGCCAACCCTTATTTCTTGTCATTTTGATTTTAGCCATTCTGACACGTGTATGGTGATCTCTCATTGGTTCTGATTTGCATTTCCCTGATGATGAGTGACGCTGAGCATCTTTTCATGTGTCTGTCGGCCATCTATAGGTCTTCTTTGGAAAAATGTCTATTTAGGTCCTCTGCCCATTTCTTAATTCATTTAAGAATTGGATTGGTTTTTTTTGGTGTTGAGTTGTATCAGCTCTTTATATATCTTGGATATTAACCCCTTATCAGAAATATCATTTACAAATATCTTCTCCCATTCAGGAGATTGCCTTTTTGTTTTACTGATGGTTTCCTTCACTGTGTAAAAGCTTATTTTGATGTGGTCTGAAGAGTTTATTTTTGCTTTTGTTTCCCTTGCTTAAGGAGACATATCTAGAAAAATGTTGTTACAACTGATGTCGAAGAGATTACTGCCTGTATTCTCTTCTAGGATTTTTATAGTTTCAGGTCTTATATTTAGGACTTTAATCCATTTTGAGTTTATTTTTGTGTATTGTGTTAAAAGGTAGTCCAGTTTTATTCTTTTACATATAATTGTCCAGTGTTCCCAGCACCATTTATTGAAGAGCCTGTCTCTTTCCCATATTCTTGCCTCCTCTGTCATAGATTAGTTGACCATATAATCAAGAGTTTATTTTGGGGTTTCTTTTCTGTTCCATTGATCTACGTCTGTTTTTGTGCTACAGCTTTGTAGTATAACTTGAAATCTGGAATTGCGATACCTCCAGCTTTGTTTTTCTAACAACAATTACACTTAAATTTACTTCTCAACATCTCCCATGGAGATGAAACTACTTTATAATTGTTGGAGGTATACAAAAATACCTGTAATGCATATAATTGAGTTACCCAAAGAAATTACAGAATCATGAAGTTGGAAGGAACCAGAAGAGTCAATCCCCTTGACCATATCCTTACCCAGGTATCTTTCAAGCTGTTGTCTCAATTTAAAATCTCATGAAGTAGCCTGCTCTTTCTCTGGACATCTCTGTCAGAGATCTGGGCCCAAATATAACTTGTTTCACTTTTTCTAGGATTATTGTGATTAAAAAGAAGATTCATGCTAAAAAAAGAACATTGGTAAAATTACACAAAATTCTAAACAAAGAGCTAAAAATTAGTTATAATTTAACATCCAGAGATGTCTTCAGTTAGCATTGGGGGATACCTCTGGCTTTATTTTTCCTTTTTTTGTGAGTATGCATGGTGTATACATATGTATATATTTTGATTTAGTTTTAAACAAAATTGGGACAAACTGTAAATACTCAGTACTAAAATAAAGGAAGGCAATATATTTTTTTATTCAACTGCTAAATTACTTTTCAGCAAATTTACATATATTCTACTAGCATTGTGTAATCTTCACGTTATATACTTATTTTATCATTCTTTTAGTTTACATTTCTTTAATTATTCGTGTGATTAAACACAAGATCTCCCTATTTCCCTATTGTTTCTACCTATTCGTCCTATTCTACTCTCTGCAGTAATATCCTTTTCCCGTGTCGTAAAAGGAAGAAGAGAATGCATAGTCTTTAGGGCCAGGTCAGAATGAACCAGAGTTTAATCCACTTCTACTATCTAGTTGTGTTACCTTGGACAAGTGACATCTTTAAGCTTGTATCTTCTCCTGTATATTAGTGACTGCCCTCACAAAGTAGGAACAAGAGTATAGCAATCAAGAACATGCAACCAATCAAAATCTAAATTAATCCTCCCCTCCTTTTTCTCATTCACGTGGTAGTTCTTCACATACTGGAAGACAGCAATGCTCCATCACCTTTCACCAACCACTCCTCTACCTCCATCCCCAGCTTCTTGGCCCAAATCCTGAGGCTTCCCTTCTCCAAGCTAAATGTCTTCCAATTTCTTCACTCACATATCAAACAACGTGCTTTCAAATCATTTCATCATCTTGGTAACTATCTTCAGAGTATGATTTAACTTAGTCATATCCTCCTAGAAAGTGGCATCTGGAACAAACTTCAGATACGATTTGAAAAGACCAGAATAAAGGTTATCGTTTCAAATAATTACCTGAAATCATCAAATGTGTTTTCCTTATCCACATCTATGAGCCAACAAAAATCTATAATCCATAAACCTGAAAGACTAACTATATTCTACTCACCTTCACCGAGGCAGGCTAGGTTAAAAGTAAGGGTGTGGAACATGACAGGTGCTTCTCAAAGTTCTTGTGATGCCTTGGGCAAATAATGTATTGTCTCTAAGGTCAGTTTACTCCTTGTAAAAAAAAAAAAAGGTAAAAATGGGAGTAATAGCACTTACATAGAGTTTTTGTAAAGATTAAAAACATCAGTGACAGTATCTGGCATGTGAGGTACTCAAATGAAAACAATTATCACTGAAACTTTAAGCACCATTTATCGAGTACTTTACATGGTCTTGAGCTCGAGTTTGGTCTATCCGAAACATGAATGACAGAGTAGGCTTTGCTGAAACTTAGTTAACCAATTAACAACTCACCTTCTTCCCCCAATTCTCCCTGCCCTGCTTTCAGCCTCTCCTCTCTCTCGCCATCATCTTCAGAAAACGAAGAGCCCTCCCTACCAGCAGGTGGAGGCATGGAGCAGTAATCCAAAATTCCTACTCAAAATTACAAGCAGGAGAAACTTCTGATTTCAACCACAAGATCACTGGCACAGGTCCATTAGGAAGGGAACCTGCCAGCAGTCAAAATGAAGCTCTGCAAGCTTCAAAGGCTCATCTACAAATGTAGTTTTTGTTCCTTTCCTCATATACTACTACCTCATATAGTAAAACTGAATGCAAAAACGTGAGTATCATTTATCTGTGAGTAACCTTTGAAAGACATATTTAACAACAATATAAAAATCAACAAAGTCTATGTTGTGTTTAGGCAAGAACAGGCTATTTAAATGTGGGAGAGAATAAACACTCACTTTTCTCTCAATTCAAATTAATCATAAGATCTGAGCAATCTGTAGAATAAAAAAGTTTTAAGTTGCTGCTAAATTAGAAGATTAAAAAGTAATTGTTGAAGTTTTCTGGAATGGCCAAAGGGAATGTAAGAATGCCCAGATCTTAAAGATCTTTAATCAAGGTACTTCTAACAAAATTAGATTTTATATAAACACAAACACAGTCTTTGGTACAGAAAATTAAATTCCTTAAGATCTGCATGCAATGAGGGTTCTTTATCACCTGAATTTCCTAAGTGTCTTTACTCCAACTAAATGGATATTAATAGTCCTAGGCAAAAATCTGAATTAAGCTAAGCTTTATCAACTTTCTCTTTCTTTAGCTCTTCTCTTCCCAAACTTGTCACTATACCCATCACTAGAAAGACGTTAATTCTCTAAAATTACCTCTGGTTCTTCATGAAAAGAAAAGAAAAAAAAAAAAAAAGGGAAGGAAGGAAGGAATGGTTGAAGCTTACACTAAAGTAGTAGCAGAAATCTTATCAAATTGCCTCAAAGAGAATGGATGGTGCCTCTCTTTTCCACCCAAAGTTGAGTTCCCTACTCTTCGTAACTCCCTGAAAAGGCTTAATATTTTACCTCTTGCAGGACATTTGTGTTTAAAAAAGAATTCTCGAATAGGTAGTATGTACAGCTGATGGAACTCTAAGCATAGCAACAAAGCAACAAAATCTGGGCATAGGTCTAAAACCTCTTCCAATCACGTCCCATAGACTAAATGTGTTCCTGATGAAAACTTATAAACTAGCAATTTGAACACCCTACTCCTCAATCAGAACAACACTCCAAATACACTATAAATTTACATTAATATTGTTTGAACATATATTTGAATTATAGCATAAATATATATTACTTCAGAAGTAAAAGCCAAAACATGATGTTATTAAATTAAATCAAAGTATGAAACATTTCTGAAAACAGAATAACGAAACCAAGATCCCAACAAAACAAGTGTTTTGGGAGTAGACAAGGAGGAAGGTCTCAGCAACTGAGCCACTCCCAGGACATCCCACCGACTATTCACATTATTCCTTGTACTGGCTTCTGAATGTAGATTTGTGAAGAGGCAACTATTATGCTAACAGTAATTTGGAATAATGCACAATTACAAACTGACATTAGATATACAACAGTCCTTACAAATGAGCACAATATATGCAAATGAAATTTGACAAAAGAGGAAATGCAAATGCACAGGAACACTTCAGAAAGTGTATATTTTTGCTTAGTCTAAGTTGAAACAAACTCAGCGTACCACAGTGCATCTACTAACATAAAACATTTCTATAAATGTTTGTAAAACATTTATAAAATAGCTTATTATTTATATATTATAGTAACATATGATTGGAGATGATTGATAATCATTTATCTTAGTACTGTAAAAGGACAGAGCACTCTAGAAAGCCAAAAAATGTTACCTCTTGACCCGACCTAGTGATACCATTCTAAAGACTTTATCAAACATGCAAGAAGGTGTTAAAGTTTTGTGCACAACATCAAGACCTGAAATAGCTCTCACATTCAACATTCAGATAATGTGGTACTCATAGATCAACATGACATCACTACTAATGATCATTAAGTATACATAAAACTATACTGTTCTCTGAGAGTATAGTGGCCACTAGCCATATGCAGCTATTTAAATAAAACTGAATTTACAATTCAGTTCCTCAGTCAGACTAGCCACATTTCAAGTGCTTACCTAGGTATATATGGACAGTGACTATTACACTGGATACTGCAGAGAAGATTTCCATTATCACAAAAAGTTCTATTGGATAGTGCTGACCTACATAATTTCCCAGACCATCCTCTGTCCTCCTCCCCCTACATGCACCCATTTATCTAGAAACATCTACATCATCTTCAGGCTTTGGCTAAGCCTCAACTACTATGTGAGGATTCCCCTGATCTACCCAGGAAATTTGGGTATACCTTCCTGTAGTCTCATTATGCCTTGATAACTCCAATACAAAAATTATGTGACATATAATCATACCATTTTCCCCAACATAATGCTGTAAGCTTCTTTAAGAATCAACTTTTATCCAAGGGATTTTGAACTGTTCTGGCACATATAGGACCTTGATAATTTGTCATATACTAAGAACATTGCTAAAGACAACAGAGACGTACACTATGACTACAAGTAAAAAATGTTTATGTATAAGGAACGTAATGCATCAAAGAAAAACTTGGTTAGGTTGGCAGGCTCCCAAGTGATTTTTTTTTTCAATTACTAATTCTTTACATTTTCTTAGTACTCATCACAAGGAGTCTCATTCTCGGAAGGTATTCAGTAAATATTTGTGGAATAGTTTCTGTATTAAAAAAAAGAAAAAGACACCAAGAATGAACCCTAATATAAACTATGGACTCAGGGTGGTAATGATGCAGCAATGTAGGTTCAGCAATTGCAACAAATGTACTACTCGGAGGGGCGGGGGGGGGGGGGGGGGATGCCGATAATGGGGGAGGTTATGCATGTACCAGGCCAGAAAGCATATGGGAAATCTCTTTACCTTGCACTCAATTATGCTGTGAACTTGAAACTACTCTAAAAAGATGATGTCTTCAAGAAAGAGACCCCAATATTTTGTTCAATAATAATATATACCATCGATTTATGATAAATTTAAAAAATCAGATCACAAATTTCTAACCCAAATATTTCTCTCCAGTGCACAGAAAATCTGACTAAAATAATCACAGGTGCAGTGCTTTGGCATGTCATCAATACACAAACTCAACTTCCACATTACCAAGCACCGACCTATATAAAGCACTATGGACACAGTAGTGAACAAGAAATTTCTTTTTTTAAAGATTTTTATTTATTTATTGGGGTGGGGGGGGAGAGTGAGAGAGAGGAAGAAGCAGACACCCTGCTGAGCAGAGAGCCCAATTCAGGACTTGATCCCAGGATCCTGAGATCATGACCTGAGTCAAAGGCAGATGCTTAAACAACTGAGCCACCCAGGCACCCCAAACAAGACAATTTCTGCCCTCACAATATTTTATCTAAATAAGAACTTTATTCTGCAAGATAAATCTTTAATCTCAGCTATCAACAACAGATATCCTAAAATGGCAAAAACAAGCTTCTCTTATTATTCTGATTTTTCAAATAATTCAAAGAACTCATATTAATCATTTGAGAAAGTAGTACATGACCTGGTTTAAAACAAAAGCTAATGCCTCATTTACTTGGCATTCTTGGGACAGTTGGTATTCCACAGAAATGAATTTTTCAGACAACTCACCCTTATCCATGTAAGCACCAACACTTAAATTGTTTGGCATGGAGATTTTTTTAAGTGGGATCTTTCAATTTTTAAAAACAGATTCAATTAAGTACTATTTTGACTAATAATCATTGTGTTGTACAACACTCAAGCTCCTAAACTGTATGTCCCCAGGGTTCCCTTTTAAAAGTTGCTGGCTTTGAACAGTTTTTCTTCTGATCTCCTGCTTTGGTGTGTCCGCTGTCAACTTTTGCAAGTATCAGTGAGAACCTAATTGTAGCAGCCTCCAACCCCTTCAAATTTGATGTTGCTTGCAACACAAATTTGTCAGAATTTTGCCTAAAACACACAGGCTTTGAGAGGATCATCAAATCTATATTTTGGTTGCTCAGTCTTCTGCTTATTTCCTGAACCTCTTTAAACCAAGTTCCGGATAAATGAGTTACTGCTATACCCTGATAAAAGTCCTTACATTATTTTCATATTTAAAACTGATGCCCAGTCAGATATAACTTCATTACTTATTCACTCATCCAACAAGTATTAAGTACCTACTATGAGATAGTCTCTAATATTACGGTGAAACTGAAGAACTGAAAAGATTGCTAGTTTTGAACAAACTCTAAAATGGAAAGATTCAGAATAATAATTTAATAGCATCTAAAAAAAAAAAGAAAACCAGGTTTGGGATTTTTTTAGGTAGTAAATGAAACTACAAAATCACCTCAGTTTTTTTAAATTTCTGTAGCTTTAGACTTAGGAACTGAAAATTCAAGGGATTTAACCAAACATTTATTGTATAAAGCTCTGAATAAGATTCCCAAATTTTCTTTTCTCTTTTTTTTCTATTACACATTCCCTTCTAGCCCTAGAGAAATCACTAGCAACATGTTTTAGTATTAAATGATAGTCCAAGTCTTGGTAATGATAAATACACCCATTTCAGCCCATGGTTAGTTTATAATCATTTTAATGTTGCGCAACAATGATTAGAAAAAATGTTATAATTCAAGAAACTTTCTGTCCAAATTTCCATAAGTTTCTATATACTTCACTTTGGGGTATAGATTTTTTTTTTTTTTTAAAGTTTTAGGAGTTAGCAAAATTTGGTGTGACTCTACAATATTTGCTTTATCTGCCACAATCATATTTTTAAAATTCCATTACCCATTTAAACCTAAGGCTAGGAAATGAGTCAAGAAGGAGTAGGGCTTAAAATTGGTCTCTGAGGATTAATTAAGACAACAGGTAAAACCCTGGTATCAGCCTTGTTTTAATGCTCTTGGAATCTCCTTTCTCATTCATTTTCTCAGGGAGCACAAGTAACTTTATTTGTATTTTATAATTTTATAAAAGACTACTGATCATCCTTATTATTTATACTGAACTGGAAATGGGTATTAGTTATGTGCCTGTGATCTGAGAAAGTAAAATAATATTGTGAAGTGAAAAAAGTTACTACAGTTAAAAACCTTTAATTACTACCATTAAAAACCTTTTCCAGCAATGCATTAACATTTCTTCAACATTAATTCTGGAACCTGAAAATGCTTTAAGCTTAAGTACTATAAAGCTAGAGCATGGACCTAACTTTCAAAATAACAACGTAGTATTATTTAAGCTATTATAGTAAACCATAAAAGTTGGCTCTGACCTCACTAGCACACCATCTTGTCCTGTGAAATAAGCCTGATTTTAAATAAAAACAATTCACAGAGAAATCCAGATGGTCTCTTGTTATCTCTACCATTTAGGCAAAGAAGCAAATGACAAATATTTACTGGACACACCTATCATAAGCAAAATCTCTACCAGGTGCTATCCACACTACCAATTTAAAAATATATATGCACACAGACCCGGCTCAAGATATTTACAATATAATTGGACAGAGAAAATATGCTTCATAAAAGATACTAATACTAACCAATAGGAAAAAGAAATATATTTGAATTAAAAATTGATCATGAACATGTAACACTCTGGCAGCAGAAATGGAGGGCGCTTGGTTCAGATATAAGCAAAATTGTTTTTGCCTGTTTTAAACCTGGCAATCAAAATCACCCAGAACTAAGGAATTGGGCCAACAGCATCACCATAGAAAAAAACCGAAATTCTCAGGAGCAACTGGTATTGGACCATTCAAAACAAAGTCTTCCTGTGAGTGCGCATTAGTAGTTTCTCTCCTAAAATCTCCTCATCAAATTAAAAACAAAACTGATTCCTGGTTATCAACTTTGCAAAAACCGAAGCTCTTCGGGGAAGCACTCCCGATTCTTGTTTCTTTTACAGCACTTAAGGTCCATCCACAGAACTAAAAGGGGCTGGGGAACAGCGACGAGGAACTGGCCTATTGTTCGAAGAACCGCAGGACCATCCGAACACCACGGGGCGCGCGGGAGCAGGGGGGAGGCGAGGCGCAAACGCGGCACAGGTGTGTGCACGGGAGAAGGGGGACAGGTGTGCCCGAGGCCACAACTAAGGTTAGAGAGCCTGACTTCAAGATCCAGACTTCGAGAAAGGGAGGCAGTCCTTCTCGAAGCTTAAACCGCTGAGCACGGAGGGGGGCGGGCCTGGGGAAGGTCTGAAGGGCTCCCAAAGCCCACCCGGGTTGAGCGGCGGGGGGCGGGGGGAATCAGAGAAGGCCGGGGGTCTGGGTGTGCAAAGCTCGAGGATAAAAGAAAAGGCTCTCGAGTCGAGGGGCCAGCCTAGAAATCCCCGAACAATGGACAATGCTGGGTCTGAGGTAAACGGCTAGGAGACTGGGGGTGTCGCGAAGGTGAACCCGGGTGGCAAGAGGGAAACAAAAGAGAGAAGCCCCCAAGTGTGGGTCCCCGGCGGCGGCGGCGGCAATTACCTGTGAGAGTTGCCGGGGATTGGGGCAGCCGAAGAGCGCGGAGCTGGAGCTGAAGCTGATGGCTCCTCGGCGGCTGAGGACGTGCTGGGGGACCGGCCTGTCCAGGGGCAGCACCGGCAGCTGGTAACATACTTCCATTGAATACGCCCGCCCTGCCCCCGCCCGGCGCCCGCCCAGCCGCGGCTGCCGGCCCCTGCGCTGGGAAGGGGCCGCGGCTCGGGGGCGCCGGGCCGAAGCGGGGGCAGGGCGGGCGGGCGCCGACCCCGGGCCGGGAAGCCGCGCTCACGCCTTCCCCACCCCAACACTCCGCCCGGGCCGCCGGCGGGAAGACGCTTCGGCGGCCGCGGCGACAGTTACGAGGACCGGCGCGCGCCCGGCTCCGGGGTGCAAGCGGGGGCAGCACAGGCAAAGTCGGAGGGGGAACCCTGCCGCCCCGGGGCTCCTCGGCCGGGAGGAGCGGGTCCGGGGAGGGCAGAGCAGAAGCGGAGCAAGGACAGAAGAAAGCGGTGCAAGAAAAGACTGCCGGACCCAGAGGCGAGACCCAGAGCGCGCGGCGCTTGGGACCAGCCACCAGCTCGGGCCGCCGCCACCGTCCTGCCCCTCCCCTCCCCCGGAGCCTGACTTCACTCCGCCGCCGGCGCGAGCCCGGCGTAATTCACACTTTGCAGCCGCGGACCGTGCGCCAACCACGGCCGCCGCCACCGTGACGTCACGACGCCGCGCCGCAGGCCCCGCGCCTCCGCAGCGCCTAGGGAGACGGACTAGCGGCGGGGGGCCAGGGGGGTGGCGGCAACCGCCTTCCTCCACTTCTGCACAGTAAGCTCGGTCTCTGTCCTCTCCAGCCACACGCCGCCCTCCCTCCGCCCCCTCCAAAATCAACTCGCAGCTCCCCCTAGCTCTCCCCTATCTGCCCTCCACCCAAGGCGCGTGCGCACGAGGCCCCACCGTTTGGGGACATTCCCCTTATCTAAGCTAAACTCTTGCTTTCGAGCGCGCTGAGGCTGTGAAGTGGGCTCAGCCTGCGCTACAAGCGATATTTGGCCCTTCTGACCCCAGAAACCCAGAGCACGCGGCGCACTCGCAGCGTTCAGCCTTAACCGCGGGGTCACCGCTGTGCTTCCCTCCTCGATTTCCCATTCTTGGACTTCGCTGGGGACCGCTGCGGCAGTGACGTCAGCGGACCGCGCGGACCCCGTCCTCCCTGCTACGTCACTGCCAGTCCTTTGGCAGGGCCCGGCTGGGGCTCTCCTCAGGCAGGTGCGGGGCCCGAGGGCTGTCCCGGGCCGAGGCGAGGAGAGAGGAGCCGAGAATGCTGGAGTGAGGAGGGGGTGAGAGGGTGGAGGGGAAACACCGAGACTGAGAAAGAAGTGAGAGTATGCCCTGGAAAAAATGAGAAAGGATGATACTGAGAAGACAAAGGAAAAAAGAAGCCTGCATGACCTTTTACCAAACGTGTTTTTCTTTGTTGGCTTTGATTTTTAGAAAGCAGAGGAGAGAGCTTTTGACCTGGTCTGTAAGCTGAATATGTCATTTGCAGGTTCATTTCGTCACATTTTCCCCCAAACTATCAAAGCTTTTCAGTTGCAACCCATTGTTTCAAAGGCATTCCAGCCCCCAGGACGTCAGCCTGAACAAGCTCTTTCCTGCTGGCAAAATTGTTGATTCGGCTCTGCTCTCAGGGTATCCATCCTTCCACTTATTTGCTATGACTAGCCATTGGCAAGGTGGTAGATCTTTGAAAGTACTGCATAGCCATTACTGATGACGTCAAGTATGAAATACTCATGATTCCATAAGTCAACTCTGCAAGACCTCTTACCATCTTTACACGACATCTGTTTCTTTTACATCACTTAAAACGTTCTGCCTCTTCCATGGTTGTCTATTTGTCTGTTCTCTACTATTAAAAGAAATATAACTTCCATTGTGGTTTCATGAATGTTGTCTTCACTAGATGGTAAGCTCTCTAAATGCAACAACTGACCCACTCATCTTTGAAACCCTAATTACTCCCACAACATCTAGTAGATACAGTGAGCATCTGCTGTATGCTTGGGATTAAGCTAAACACTCTGACTCAAAAAAACCCATGAGATAATAGTATCTAAACTGAAACTGGGCTTAGGGAAACATAACTTGCCCAGATCTTACACAGATAAATGGCAGAACTAACTAAATAATGTTTGAATTCTCTGTACATTTAAGCACCCAGAAGGTGGTATTGGTATTACATCAAACAGTATATGCTTCAAATAACTGTATCACATTTAATAACATCTAAGAGACTCAGTTCCATTAAATCATTTGATAAGACTCAGGGCACTATCTAAACAATGCATCTCTCTTTAGCAGAGAGGGGAGCTAGCATTTACCATACACCCACTGTGAGCCATGACAGGTATTCTACATATAACATTTAATTTAACCCCACACAATAGCCACATATGTAAAATTTGATACCAGTTCTACAGATGAGGAATCAGTTTCCAAGACCATAAGTCATCTGTGCCACTGAACTCTGTTCTGTGTGATTTCAGAACCATGCATTTCCACCATACCATGCAGTATCTCAAGACCAGAATGTCAACTGTTCTCAGTGTTTTTTACTATACTGGGAAGCATATCAGTCAGGGTTATCCAGAAACACAGAAGCAATAGGAGATTATATATATAGAGAGAGAGAGAGAGAGAAAATTTCTGTACATGTATCTTGTCCAAGACACAGAGAAGCTAGAGGAACTGCAGGCCCCCTGCTGCCCCCTGGCCAGTAAGGTGAGTCAGCAAGTCATGTGCAAAACTGCAGCAGTGCTTGGGACCCTGTATGGATCTACCAAGTGTAATGGCTGGTGCTTCACGTCCACTTCTCAAATCTTTTGCGAATTTCTATTGTGGCCAACCAAAACCCTAAAAAGAAGAGAATTCTGGGAATGTAGTTCCAACTTAGCTAAGTTGCTAGTGCAAACTAACCCAGTCTGAACTCTTATCAACTTGACATCCCTACACACTTCTTTTAATCACATTTAATTTTCAGATAAAGACCATAGTAAAATCATGTGTATGTCCATATGATGCAACTAGCTCTCATACAACCCAAAACAGCTCCCTCCCTTCCCAAAAGAGCGCAGAATCTTTGAATGACGTTCACCCCTCTTCTTGATGAGTCGTATTACCCCTTTGATATCCTGTAACTTAAATACAAGAGATAAAGTAACCCACTATTAACACATCCTAGGGGAATGAGAGAGAGGGGGGAAAAAGAAAATAATTGGTTAATATATACACAAATATATTCATATCAAAATGAGGGAAAATGCTCACAACTATTATAGACCTTATATCTGCTACTGGCAACATAATCATAATTACTATTTTCTTTTTTCCCCATTACCTTTTTAAATATCCCTTTGCCTTCAGCAAGCGTCTCAGCCAATAATAGTTCCTTTATTTATGGGGCAACCCAAATTTTTATTCCTGAAATATCTAGACTGTTAGAGGTTCTACTTCTATTGGGTTGTTGTGCTTTTCCATTAACTCATATTACAGAGTATGGGAATACTAAGAGGTACCCCTAAAGAATCTCCAGCATTCCAGGTACATTCCCATGTAGTAGCAATTAAAGATCAGTTTAACAGGATCAATCAGTCCAGGCAGTAGAGTAACACTCTTCATTGCATGTTGGTTAAATAGCACGAGGATCCCTAAATGGCTAAGTGGCAATCCCAATTTACAGATTGAGCTCTTGCTGTGTACCCCTGGGGAACCACTCTTCTTTGGGAACTAAGACCTCTGGACAAGCAGAACCCAACGTTGCAGGAATTGGAAGCAAAATTTTGCATGTGATTCACTAGGGGTAAAAGTAAGAGGATCCACTTCCACTCCCTTGATTCCTGAACCATGGATATATTTTTTTCCTAATTTTCTTTTTTTTAATTAATTAATTAATTATTTTTGATGTAGTGTTCCATGATTCATTGTTTGCTTATGACACCCAGGGCTCCATTCAATACATGTCCCCTTTATTTATTTTATTTTTTTTTTTAAAGATTTTATTTATTTATTTGAGAGAGAGAATGAGATAGAGCATGAGAGGGGGGAGGGTCAGAGGGAGAAGCAGACTCCCTGCCGAGCAGGGAGCCCGATGCGGGACTCGATCCCGGACTCCAGGATCATGACCTGAGCCGAAGGCAGTCGCTTAACCAACTGAGCCACCCAGGCGCCCTACATGTCCCCTTTAATACCCATCACCAGGCTAACCCATCCCCCTACACCCCTCCCCTCTAGAACCCTCAGTTTGTTTCTCAGAGTCCATAGTCTCTCATGGTTTGTCTCCCCCTCCAATTTCCCCCCTTGATTTTGCCCTTTTTACTATCTTCTTCTTTTTTTTTAACATATAATGTATTATTTGTTTCAGAGGTACAGGTCTGTGATTCATCAGACTTACACAGTTCACAGTGGTCACCATTGCACATACACTCCCCAACATCTATCATCCAGCCACCCCATCCCTCCCACCCCCCACCACTCCAGCAACCCTCAGTTTGTTTCCTGAGATTAAGAATTCCTCATATCAGTGAGGTCATATGATACATGTCTTTCTCTGATTGACTTATTTCGCTTAGCATAATGCCCTCTAGTTCCATCCACATCGTTACAAATGGCAAGATTTCATTTTTTTTTTTTGTAGGCTGCATAATATTCCATTGTGTATATATACCACATATTCTTTATCCATTCATCTGTCGATGGACATCTTGGCTCTTTCCACAGTTCGGCTATTGTGGACATTGCTGCTATAAACATTGGGGTGCACGTACCCCTTCGGGTCACTACATTTGCATCTTTGATGTAAATACCCAGGAGTGCAATTACTGGGTCGTAGGGTAGCTCTATTTTCAACTTTTTGAGGAACCTCCATGCTCTTTTCCAGAGTGGCTGCACCAGCTTGCATTCCCACCAACAGGGTAGGAGGGTTCCCCTTTCTCCGCATCCTCGCCAACATCTGTCATTTCCTGACTTGTTCATTTTAGCCATTCTGACTGGTGTGAGGTGGTATCTCATTGAGGTTTTGATTTGGATTTCCCTGATGTCGAGCGATGTTGAGCACTTTTTCATGTGTCTGTTGGCCATTTGGATGTCTTCTTTGGAAAAATGTCTGTTCATGTCTTCTGCCCATTTCTTGATTGGATTATTTGTTCTTTGGATATTGAGTTTGGTAAGTTCTTTATAGATTTTGGATACTAGCCCTTTATCTGATATGTCATTTGCAAATATCTTCTCCCATTCTGTCGGTTGTCTTTCGGTTTTGTTGACTGTTTCCTTTGCTGTGCAAAAGCTTTTTATCTTGATGAAGTCCCAATAGTTCATTTTTTCCCTTGCTTCCCTTGCCTTTGGCGATGTTTCTAGGAAAAAGTTGCTGTGGCTGAGGTCGAAGAGGTTGCTGCCTGTGTTCTCCTTTAGAATTTTGATGGACTCCTGTCTCACATTTAGGTCTTTCATCCATTTTGAGTCTATTTTTGTGTGTGGTGTAAGGAAATGGTCTGTGCCTCCTGGATTTTGATGCCTATTTCCTTCCCCAAATTAGGGAAGTTCTCTGCTATAATTTGCTCCAATATACCTTCTGCCCCTCTCTTTCTTTCTTCTTCTTCTGGGATCCCAATTATTCTAATATTGTTTCATCTTATGGTATCACATATCTCTCGAATTCCACTCTCGTGATCCAGTAGTTGTTTATCTCTCTTTTTCTCAGCTTCTTTATTCTCCATCATTTGGTCTTCTACATCACTAATTCTCTCTTCTGCTTCATTTATCCTAGCAGCTAGAGCCTCCATTTTTTTATTGCACCTCATTAATAGCCTTTTTGATTTCTACTTGGTTAGATTTAATTCTTTTATTTCTCCAGAAAGGGTTTCTCTAGTTTCTTCCATGCTTTTTTCAAGCCCAGCTAGTATCTTTAAAATCGTCATTCTGAACTCTAGTTCCGACATCTTACTAATGTCCGTATTGATTAGGTCCCTGGCAGTTGGTACTGCCTCTTGTTCTTTTTTTTGAGGTGAGTTTTGTCTTGTCATTTTGTCCAGAGGAGAATAGATGAATGAGAGAACAAAATGCTAACAGGGTAACAACAACCCATAGAAAAATATACACTAAACAAATCAGAAGAGACCCAA